ATAATGGTAGAGGCCAGAGACCTCTAGCCAAAGTCACTGGCTTGTCATTTTCTCCAGTGTCGCTGTTCAATAGAGACGCAGTATTACCCCCCCACCCCCATATTATAATCAGTACCGCAACCAAAAGATTTTGAACTGCAAGTGTCTATTCACTGGTATAGTACCTTTTAGTTGTGCTTCCTGTCTGTGTTTGTGCTAGGTGCTTTTTGCAGTGTCTTTGTCAATGCCTTCTTGTCACCTGACCTAACCACTTCCATATAAGTGATGTCACTTGACCTTTTTTGTCATTAGCTTTCTCATCTTTGCTATGGGGTTCACTATTGCACTCATTATTTGAAACCATGTTGTGTTTATTATTAGCTGTGACAGCCTACAGATGTAGTCACATTAACTGGATTATGAGCGCTACATACCACTCTATACATTTATTATTGATACCAAGTAAACTTTTATAGAGAATTTATGTTAATCTTGTCACCTGCAGTAAGTTCATAATTATGCAACCCTGGAAGGAAGAGTTTACTATAAAGATTTGTTCAACTTTTAGTGATTTCTGATTCATTGCAGATTCTAAAAAGGCTTTACTGGAATTGAAATATTAATGTTAATAATTAACACAAAGTGTTGATAAAGGAGTCAGACATTGTTGCATCTCTAGTAATATTTTATGGTATGGGTCCATTTTGTGCGCCAGTGTAATATCCACCTTCAGTTCAGTTGTAGTGACTCAGTCTGGGTCAAAAGTTAAGAGATTGTATTTTTAATCCCAGTCTGCTCCTTCCTTCAGTCACCTCAGCTGCTGACCTACTGTCAACTAACCTGCCAGAGCTTTGACACTGCAATATACCCAGCTATATCTTGGCAGTCCAAGCTATGTCTGCCAAATAGGGGGCAGACACACTCACACTCACACTCTCTCTCTCTCTCTTTCTCTTTCACTGCAAATCTCTCATCTGGTTAACTGTCTTTATTGAACACAGGCTAAAAGAAACAGCCTGTGCCTTCTTTTCCTCTCTTCAAATCATCTTTTCTTCCTGTACATGTCTTAACAGCCAGAGCACAGTCTTTATTATCAGCATATGCATGTTCAGAGGAGTGCTGACGCTGTGTGTTGCTGCAGACTGACGTCAGCAGTGCCCTACTCCTCTCTGTGCAAATGTCCTACCCGCCTTGCTGCCACTGATACCTTTTCTCTGTTCCTCATACTGTTATTAGCATGTTTTTATCAGTTCTAGCACCTCTCATACTGCAGTGTTAGTCTAGCTAATATGCAGGTGTAACTAAATGGCCATCTAATACCATATGTACAATTAGTCTCATGTTAAATAATTGTTTATGAAGAGTGCATTAGTGTTTCATTGTGAGTGCTTGTTTTTGGAGAGTAGTGAACTATATGTAATTAAACGAGGTTTAACTGCATTTTGCAGTAGCTTGCTGATAGTTCAGCTATATTCATATTTGCTTAGCAATTCAAGTAGTTAAATTACTTAGTTAACTACAATTAAATTACAAACAATTTCAGATCATTAAAGGAAAGACTTTTTTTATTTTATCATGCTACATGTGAGCAGCTTTTATGCATTGGTAAGGACATTTTCAGTGCTAAATGAAGCTGCCTGTTGTATAAGAACTGCTCATGTTTCTTATAAACACATACACATGGGAAAATGTTTTTGGTAAGGGGGCTGTCTGGGATATGTGCATGTGCCTGTCCGCTTTTGTGTGTACACATGAATTTTTAGAATAAAATTTATGTGGAAATAATGTATGTTGCCATACATAAAATGAAAGTACAGTTAAAAGTGTCTAGCTTTTCGTCTATGCTCTATGTTTGGATGTTTTATAAACTTGTTCAAAGAACCCATGGCATGTTTTTCCTAGTTTTCTGACCTATCGACAATGTTACAACAGTGAATTATCATCTTAGATGTGACCTAAAGCAAAAAAAAAAAGAGGTGTACATATGTTCTCGTACTTCTATGCAAAAGCCGCTTGGTTTATACAAGTCTAACCAGTAAAAGCAAAGGCCCATTATTTAGACCACTGTTTATAATTGTCTAAAAAAAACCCAAGTTGATGACTGGTTTAGTTGTTAAGGTTATAGAAGTCCAATGTTAACAATTAAGACAACAGGCCCATTTTTCCTTTGTTATTTGGTAGCTTGCAAAGTTCTGCTTTCAAAGTAGTGTCTCCAACATTGGCACTTGTTTTGTCTTTGGTCTGGCACCTTTTGCTCTCTATTTGTATATTCATGCAGGTGTCTGTAAACACCGAGTCATTATTTCCCTTATGAAAATATCTGCACAATAAATAATCTTCATACTCATGCATATGTGGGTGTGTGCACAGTCTTACACAGAATAACAAATAAATAGGATTTAGCCAATTGTACAAGTCTAACAAGATCTGTCTCTGTTGGTGTATTTAGGAAAATAGCCTAAAATTCAAAAGAGGAATGCATGATGGGTAGAAAAAAACATGACACTGTCTATGTGTATGCATGTGTACAGGTGTCTCTGTCCAAGTTGTGTGTCTCCCTGTGTGTTCGCCCTCACGTCACGTCTTCATAACATCACTAAAGAAAACATCTCCCGTTCAATGAAACATTTTAATCTCGGTGCTTGCAAAAGGCCCTTACTGTAAATGAGTTAGTATTTGGCACACGGTTTAATAGTGGTGGTGGTAGCACCCATTCAGCCAGTGTTTCCTCTTTCTGAACTATGTGAGATGGGCACCATATGACTGAGTAAACATACGCTTATGCTGGTTTACGGGTGAAAAGGGGGCAGCGAGCGGACTTCAGCCTACTGTACGTGGAGAAGACTTCACATTTCAGCAAGTTTGTGTGCTGCTTGTTCAACAGGTATTTGATAAGTTGCTCTATTACTGGTAGATTTTGTCGGTTGATGAGGACTGTGGTCAGCTCGAGTAAAATATAACTTCCCCTCTGATTTTCTCCAATTTGTGTGTGTCTTTGAGCACTCCAGAAAAAAAGAGGGGAGAGGGAAGATGAGACCCCCAGGTTATAAACTGCAGCAGTAAAGTAAAAGTAAATAAGGATTTGCTGCAATTTAGCCAATACAGATCCATTAACGACACCAGGATTGGCCTTTATATCGATCATAGTGATCGCCTCAGGACATCTCTAGTGTTGACAGATTGTACACATTCTACTCTATAATGTGTGACACACTGTCACCTTTTTATGTACTGCATATGTGATTGGGCGGGTCAGTAGAAAATGGAAATGGCAGCAAAACATGATCATGGGGTTGAGTTAAATGAAGACCAAGCACTCATCCTGTCTAGCTGTGTGTTTGTTTCTTTTTATTTCTGTCTGTAGTTCTCTGTCTTTACTCTCAATCCCCTCCTTAATGGCATCCTTTCCTTCAGCTTTTACCAGTATCGCTCTCTGTTTTTAGCCTTTCTGCATCTCTCAGTAAACAAGCAGAAGGCCAACAACTCTGTCCTCTGGTCTGTCTCCCGCCATCCTGTTGCCATGGTGTATGGAGCATTGTTTGCCAGCCTCTATGTTGTGTTGCCATGGCAGGACTTATTTGCCATATTAAATGTTTGGCAGCATTGTACAGATGCTGATGACAAACACCCAACATCCCACTTTGGTCAATGAAACAGTTACTGATTAGATGAGATGAGATGGAGCCACTCATCTATTTAAGAACCTGAGCTATAGATTTCATGTGCTGTATGTATTACATACAGAAATGTGAAACATGTATGTATAAAAGCAAACTAATATTACAGGCAGCTGAAAATGGAACCATAAAAAAGCCCTCTTAAGTTTAGTATTACTAATTAAACACAGGACTTGTCATAATGTGCTGTATTTCTTTTATTAGACAAAGCATGATTTTGCAGCTTTTAAAATTGGCATATGTTGTTTTTGTAATCAAATGTGGTAGAACACTATGAGTGACATTGCATTTAAAATTCTAAATATAAAAATTAATTTAAACCCATTCCTTAAATAACAGTGAATTGTTCTTTCTAATTAAATTCTATTATAGTGTTTGATATTGCTGAATATACAGTAACTACATTTTTTTATTCACATGTCATAAGATGTGCTTTGATTATTCATGACAATATGACATTTTTAACAACAATGTTTTAAAAAGCTGTGAGAGTGTGTTCCTTTGGTAGGCTGAGGTTTTTGGTGTTTGTGGTCTTTCTCAGGTAAGACTTAATCCTCTGTGTCTCTCCCCCTTGTGTTGAGGGGTGAGACTGCACAGTGGCCATAGCAGACTGTTACATTTTCCCCAGTTAAAACTATTTGTGATAAATCTGAGTCCAATTTTAGGATTATATGAGATTGGAAAAAAAAAAATGAAATGCACATTTAATAGCAACAAACAAACTGGATGTGCAAATGTGTAGTTGCTATTACTGCTGTCTTAACTAATTCCTATCTATCAATTTGAAATTGTATTTATACTTAACATAGAGGATTAGGTTATTTCAGATCTAACGTAATGTTAACTGAATCTGCAACAGCTTTGACTGTACACTGCTGTAATGTGTGAGAGCAGATAGTGTTGAAATGCTGCCAATTGACGTAGTTAGAGCTAGATAAGATCACATAGCTCCATTGTAGACGCACCGTGGTGGTTTTACTGGTTTGCTTTTCTTCTTTTGCTTTCGCTGAAAGGCTTCGGTCTGCTGTCGCTAAGCCAGTGTGCATTAGCGTACATGTAGTAGCAAGTGCATCATGTGGTGCAGGAAATCTTTATTGTAAAGCGTTACAACACTGTGTGTTTAGATATCAGGTAGAATAGACTAACAGACGTTTTGTCACACTGTTGCTGACCTGCCCTTACTGCAAAGTCATAAGGCAGTGTGCTCAAACTGGGGCATATGTCAAAGCCTGTGTGCTTTCTGTGGAAATATATTAAATACTCTCTATTATGCACAAACACATATGCAGTATTGTACAGTGATGACATCTGACTGACACCTATTATGTCTCGTGTGATTTTCAGATGATCTTGTGGGACTGGGATCTAAAACACTGGTACAAACCACAGTATCAGGTTAGTACTACAGTCATTTCATCTTGCATGTTTAAGATTACACTTGTGCATGATTAATGCACAGCTAATACATGCTTTTTTAGGTAGTATGGTCTCTGTAGTCCATCAGTAATGGCTGGCTATAAATCTCCTTTAGGACATTCAGTTCTTTTCCTAATATTTTTTTTTGTTATGCAAAATACACATCATGTTAAACTTGGCATACAGTGACTTTGGAATTGTTGTCATGCCACATTTTTTTTATTTTACTCAGACATTATTTGTTTTGCTTGAACTGTTTCAGTAATCTGTCAAAGAATTTATCTCGCACAGACCAAAAGTCATTATTTGTTCCTGTTGGACAGGGCCAAGCCAGCCAGAGCATTTCCCCCAAACATGCCCTAAAAAGCAAGGATTAAACCTTTTTTTAAATACATTGCTCTTACATTCATTCATTCATTTTCTACCGCTTAGTCCCTGAACGGGGTCACGGGGGGGCCGGAGCCAATTCCGGCCGGCAATCGGGCGAAGGCGGGGTACACCCTGGACAGGTCGCCAATCCATCGCAGGGCTAACACATAGACGAAGCAAACTCCGCACACAGGGTGGGGCCCGAACCCAGAACCTTCTCGCTGTGAGGCAACGGTGCTGACCACTGCGCCACCGTGCTGCCCCTATGTTTATTTTGTATTGCTCTTACAATTGATGGACTTTCATGTTTAGATATTAGCAAAGCAGTGCACTTATGATATGGACTGTATTTAAAGCATACTTTCCTCCCAATAAACTGTAGTTGTTGCTACTGTTTCTGTTGTGAAAGAGGTTAGAGAAAGAGAAGAATGATTAGGAGAAAACAGGAGAGGAATGAAGTGGGAGAGGAAGTTAGAAATGTTAAATATCAACAAAGTCAGCTATGGGGGATTGTTAAAAGAAAGAAAGAAGGAGCAAACTTGGTGGGGGAGATTCATTAGCACCATGTACCCGATGCCGTTGCTCTTACTACAACACCACTAGCCCAAATAGCCTTTTGCCAAATAGTCTTTTGGCATGATTCAGCTGATTGGTACTCTATCTGCTGTCTATATTACAGTACACTCCAGCAGGGGACCAGTAGACAACACTGTCAAGTCACGTCACTTTTTATTTGTATAGCCCAATATCACAAATTACAAATTTGCCTCAAGGGGCGCTGTCTTAAGCCATTAGCTAAAATTTAAGATCTGTTTTCCTATGAGAATCAAATTGTCAGGGCTTTAAACAAAATCTTAACACAAACATTTTTAAACCACTGTATTTACTATGCGTGCAAATGCTGTGCTGCACTGAAGCTGCCCTCTGACAGCATCTTTGCTCCACGGCTTCCTTATCTGTGCAATGTGCATATGTCAGGGTGCAGTAAGCGGCAACGGCGTGGACCTTTCAGTCATCAACGAGGCCAGGAACTTGGTGTCAGACCTGCTGATGGACTCTTCTCTTTCGCCACACACCATCTCAGCTCTGCGCAGCATCTCCAGCCTAATGGGGACATTCTCAGGGTCGTGCCGTCCCAGGGTAAACCCATTCACCCCTTTCCCAGGTTTCTACCCCTGTGATGAAGTGGAGGACTCAGCAGAGAGAACTGACAGGAAAACCATTAAGGTGGGCGCTAAAAATCTGCACCAAACTAATAAAGATAAAGACATGAGTAATAGTTGATACAGGTTAAACTTTTTGACCATACAAACCCTTTAGAGCAGTATTTCCCGTAGCCCCCACACTCCATGGTTGGGCATTAGGGTTTAGGTTATGCTTAAGCGTAGCAGAGATAACTGGCTGGGGTTAGTGTAAGGTTAGGGGTCAGGTTAAGCATTTCAAAAGACAACAGACTGGGGCTAGAAATAAGGTTACGTTCAGGTTAAAGTCATCAAAAAAGGCAAATCAGTGGGGAAATGGACACAACAGTGGATCTTAAATTGAATCAGCTGCAGGGACCCTTCTTTAGACACATGCAGTTGTCAGTTTAAAAATGGCCTAAGTTAACAAATGCTGACACGTGTCATAGTGCTGCTTGTGTCACATAACCAGCATCTTCATTTTGTTTATAAAACACAAGTCTACACTGGAAACGTCCTTTTCCCATCAGGGTTTGAGCAGCAGAAACAGCCTTCCCACCCCTCAGCCCAGGCGGAGTTCCACCTCCTCCTCGTCCTCTACACTCCCTCCTGTTGACTCCGCCTCTACTCGCTGGGAGCGCAACAATGGCAAGAGACCCTACCCCGACCTCAACTTGACCAGGTACCAACAAAAACACAACCATACACATTACCACCTTTCAGAAACACACACGTTCTCCAGCATTGCTCACATACATCACCTGGGCTTTACCCTGAAGCTGTCCAGTTTAGCATCAGATTAATGGCTACCATCACAAGATCGGAATTATGTAACTGCACTATGGTTTTCCTCAGGTGAAATCAAGGGCCTGTTTTTTTTTTTTTGTTGTTGTTTGTTTTTTTACTCATCCTGAAAAGAGTAATGCATGGGCCTTGGTTTGTTCTGAGAGGAAAGAAATCATATTCATTATAAAAATAGTCATAGAAATAAAACGTCACTGGAAACTGGTTCAGCTGTGTAATATACATGTTATTGAGAGGACCGGGTGAGAAATGTAGCTTGTATTTAGTTTTGGATAGAGAAGCCAGATTTGTCTGTTAAAGCAATACAGTTTCCCTTTGCCTTTATCCTTTTACGTGCCTCTTTGTCTCACTACAATTTCATTACGTGGTACTGGATGTCACACCTACAGTGTAACATCATATCTCTGGGCCTAAAAAAAAAAAAGATTATCTGCTCATCAAGTGGCCTGATGTCCCCTATGATTATGACCTGCAGGAGCGAAACACTGGTTGTGCTACAAACATTGAATATATTGTATGTCTGATTTGGTATCATTAGAAATCGTGAAAAGCAAAGTTATTTTCCCCTTAGGTAAGCATGTCATTGTGCTGTCTTTAGAACTTTGCAATGTCTATACTATAGTAACTTCCCTTACCTCACAGTTGATTGGTGAGTAGGTATGTGAACAGCAACAGCTTCTTGCAGGTTTGATCTGCTCCCTTTGATGTGGTTTGGAGCTGTTGGTGTGAGACTGAAAATCTAAAGGCTGAGACTGAGAAGTGCAAAGTTAGCTAGCTAACTCATGAACACTCCATCATGAGACAGACCATACCAAACAAACAAGAAGTTATTTCAATCATTTCTTTTCATTGTGTTTCTGTATGCCTCATAGGCTTGAGTGATTTGAATCTTGCGCAGTATAAACCCATAGCAGATGGAGATGTTAACATGTCAAAGTCAAGGAATGAGTTTAACTGGATTTTAATAATGATTCTTACTGTTTACATGCACTGATATAAAATCAAGGTTCATTAGTAACTGTAATCAAATGTACTTGCTGAGACACTGAGGTGTAGTCTCTAATTGTGTCCACAGCATGGCAGTAGAGGACTAGTTATGTTGGCTGATGAACTTCTTTGAGTTTAAGATCATCATGTTTTTTTGTTTCAGATGTTAGTTGTTGTATGACTGAGGATAGCGTAGCCTTGGACTCTAGTGCTGTGTGCACATCTTCAAAAAGTGTTCCTTATTGTGCAAAAGGTTGGGTAGGAATTAAAAGTTGAATGTGTGTGTTTTGCACTCCAGCGTAGGTCTTTCCAATGGGCCAAATACAAACCTGCTCACCATTCCCAAGCAGAGGTCCTCCTCTGTTACCCTCACCTGCCATGCAGGGCCCAGGAGACCAGGTGAGATTTAATTATAAAACTTCCCAAAGACACTATAATTTGGTTAAATCTTCATGTTTTGACTGAATGCTGTTCCTTTCTCATTGTCTGTACTCCCTTCATCCCCTTCAGGCACATCACCTAGCCTGAGCCCAGTCACCTCACCAAGCCATAGTCCTCCTTCAGTAGGTACGGGCTCTTCATTGTCTCTTGTCCCTCGATTGCCTGTGGAGTTCCCAGACACGGCTGACTTCCTGACAAAGCCAAGTGTCAATCTAAACCTGCACAAGCCCTTGGGCTACACCCTTAGCCCACCTGATTTTCAGCAGGCTTTCCGTAGCTCTACCTTCCCTCTTTGCACAAGGTGAGACCTGCCATACTGAATTGGCATGTAACTATATTCTATTTGATTCACTCTTTTAAGTAACAATACATTATGTACTGTCACTAGTCATGTCTTTGATTGTTGTGTCTGTCCTTTCTAGCTGTGGTCGTCAGATGCTCAAGGGAGTTTCTAGCAGTGATACAGGCGAATCTCATCAACCATTTAGTAGTGAGGCTCAACACATGCGCTCAGGTACATACAGTAACTTTACTTGATGCTTCCCTCTCATGCTAGATTTACCCCTCCTCGCTCACTCAATTATTTTATTTGTCATAAGTAAATAAAAATACATATTTATAGGTTGACGAGGCTGATTTTCCATGGACATGTATTCAGGTGTGCCTTGAGATTTTGGCTTGCCCTTTGGCCTAAAAAGTTTGAAAACCACTGGTATAGGGGAGTCAAAGAGAAAGTCTTCAGTAAGCAGTTCAGGGGGATAATGCTGCTCTCTGCTGGGCTCCATCAATAATGATGCACACATGAAGAATAGACATTTGACATTGTATATCTTTTTCCTATTCCTTCTTCCAAGTAAATGGTCTTATATTTGTATAGCGCCTTTCTATGCTTTACAGCACACTCAAAGTGCTTTCACACTATTTGGCCATTCACCCATTTGCACTCCCAAACACTCACACACCGGTGACATCACTAGGAGCAGCTGGGGGTACAGTGTCTTGCTCAAGGACTGACTGGACAAGCCGGGAATCGAACCGCTAATCCTCCGGTTAGGAAACGACCCGCTCTACCTCCTGAGCCACAGCTGCTCCCATAGCCACAGCCGCCCCCATAAGTAAGAGTTGTAAAATTAGCCACTATGCCTTCTGACAACCAGCCACAGGTTTTAGGTTTCATCTTAATTTTTTCTCTTCAATATACAACAGCTCCCTGTTTGAGGCGAGTCGTTTTTCAAATGAATACAATAAGATTTCAAATAAGTTGAAGACAAAATCTTTGCTATATACTAATAATTCATGTTTCAAAAGCCCAGTAAAATACTTTGAGTAAATAGATGGAATGATATTTTTTAATTCATTTTGGGACTGCAATGTATTGATATCAGATCAATTTGAAAATCAAATATGTGACAGTAACATGATTAGTTTTTTTGTGTTTGTGTGTGTGTGTGTGTGTGTGTGTGTGTGTGTGTGTGTGTGTGTGTGTGTGTGTCCGCTTGCATGTGTTCATGTGCTCATGGCTTTCCATTCACTGTGCTTTGTGTGTACATCAGGTGAAGTGCTGGAGTTCACAGGGGAGCCTCTGATCAGGGAGGAGAGTGTGGAGGCGGACGTGTCTGGAGACGGAAGACCAGATGTTGCAGGGAACCAGGGACAGGCAGTTTTTTTTAGGGTAGAAGGAGAAGGGCCTGAGCACAGACTAGCAGGAATCAGAGGTGATCAGAGGTTGTCTACATACAGCACATTTGTCTACTGCAGCAACGCAGATGGATTATTTATTCAATTTTTCTTGTTTTGATTTTTTTTCTCCATCCCCACCTGCCACAGTTGAATTTCAGACATTTAGTGCTGACTTGGTTTACAATGACTGTACACTTCCATTTTCATTTATGCTACTTTGATACGTGCTTGCTGTGAGAGCAACATATAACCATTTTACTTTTTATTTAGGATTTCCAATCACTTGCCTATTGTATTTGAGGTTTTATTAACCCATCCTACAGCACGGTGGCGTGTGATTACAGTGGAGACTGTTGCTGTATTTTGTAAGACAGCCATCCTTATGTTCATGGGATGTTCGATGTCCAGATGTCTATGGATGATTAATGGTCTCTGTTCAACTCCACCTGCACCGAGGTGCGACATGAGCCTTGGCCTAATGAAAACATCCGAGCTCTTTAAGCACTCATGCAGCCATGCTGAAAGGAAGTGGAACAGAGACTGCCTTCATGTGTCTCTGGACATTCTACAAGACACTCTGGCTGCTTATCAGACAGCTGCCAAAGATGCAAGAGTCAAACATTCTTCTAATGTGATTGTGACTAATTGTCACAAGCCTATAGTTTTAACTCTATTAATGCTACTCTGAATCCCTGTAAGACAGTTTTCCTGATGTTTCTTCTGCAGCCTGTTAAGAGCTCCTACAGTTTCATATAACTAAAACTATAAGGATCAATTCCTAGGTTATTTCTTGTGTTGTTGATTCTCTGACTTCATCTTATGTTTTGTTGTTTTTGATCAGTTCATTCCATTTACTTTGGACCATCTTTCAAAAGTGGGACATTATAGTATAAGCCTTTCTTTTGCCCTAATCAGTTTAAGTCCAAACTAAAGCAGTGGGGAGATGCACCTTTTGCTATAGCAGCTCCTAGACTTTGGAATAGCCTACCAATTGAAATTAAGCCTGCTTCTAATGTGGCCTTGTTCCATGTTCTTCTTAAAACATACTTATTTATACAGGCATTCCACACTGGCATTGACTGAGTGTATTTGAGTATAACATATATCTTTTTCCTTTTCTTTTATTATGTAATGTGTGTTTTATTTTACTGTGAAGCACTTTGTAACATTTGTTTAGAAGTGTGTTATATAATTAAAGTTTTAATAAGCATCCTCAGCCAGCCAACCATTCATGTGACCTGTCTTCTCTTAATTCAGCAGACATTCTAGCTCTGCCAAACTTTTCAATCTTATGTTTAATTCGTGTTCTATATTACGGATATTCTTTGGTTAGTGTAGCCTACATCAGACATTTGCTGTCTTCTGTCTAATGCTTGTATTTGCATGATCACTACATTATATGCCAGTACAGTAATGCCTGTGCTAATCTCTGCACTTTGTTCATTTTCTGAATGTCTCCAGGGCGAGCAGGAGTTCAGGCTAGATCCTATGCTGGAGGACCATCAGGCTCTCATGGAGAGGATGAACACGTGGAACTTCCAGATCTTTGACCTGGTGGACAAAACAGGAGGGAAGACTGGAAGGATACTCAGCTATGTTAGTACAACCATCATAAACCAACGATCTCTTGTAGCAGCAGCAGTATGTGTTTTAATTGGCAGGTCTGTCCACTTCTGATTTAAAAAAAAGTTCTTATATGGTCATTGCAGTCTGGGGCCAGCTAGCAGGCCTTTTAGCCTGTTAGTCCAAATTTAATATGTCCATGGCTAGTTGTGTAAAGAATTTAAGGCATCTGTCTTCCTGAAAAGAGCTGAGTGTGATTGTGTGATCAAATGATTTCTGTGATTTTGATAACCAGAGTTTCAAGTGCTGTACTGGTAGGGTTGGAACAGGAAAAGTATTTGTAAATGTAACAGAATGCTGGTGGATTTTAATAATGGCCAATGACATCAGCATTTCAACAGCAGCACTAAAGACTCCCAACAGAGACCTGTTCTAGATAAGTGTCAAGCCACAGATATACATCACAAATGTAAATATGCTGCACCTCAGTTAGAACTATTACAAATTTCAGTGAAAGCAAATATGTCACCTTTGATGTCTCATTTCATTTCAGCAGACTGTGAACTTCTTGCTTATGCATAATAATCTGCACACAGTGATTTTAGTGTTCCACTGAACATCAGCGATGGCGCTTGTCATCTTGTGTTATGATTGAAGTTTGAGTAAAGCTTCCTTGTGTTTCCCCAGGTGACATATACCCTTTTCCAGGATACATGTCTGTTTGAAATTTTCAAGATCCCTGTGCGGGAGTTCATGACATACTTCTGTGCTCTGGAAAATGGCTACAGGGACATTCCCTGTGAGTGTTACACCATGTAGTGTTCAAGAAATTCAGAGATTCATGTTTAAGTGTTTCCCCTTGTGAATTAAGCGGCTATTGTGTGGCAATGCTAAGACACAGTTTCAGTTAGCCTAACAATCTCAAATTTTAATCTGTTGCTGGTGTGCTAGATTCATTTAAACTATTTTGGCAACAAACACAGATCATAACCGGGTCCATGCTACTGATGTGCTCCATGCTGTCTGGTACCTGACCACTCGACCAATCCCTGGGTTCCAGCAGATCCACAGTGAACATGTGACTGGAAGTGACACAGGTAAACACCAGTGATACAGGAAGGCTCATAAACTCATTGGTCATAGATCTTTGTTATAGTCTGTGGAATATCTAACTACACAGCATCCATTCAGTGTCTGCGCAGAGTTTTGCATGAGATCCTATACACAGTTAATTTCCTAAATGGACTTCTCTGACCTCGTACCTTTTTGATGTCGCAGGTTGGGTCATATTCATAAAATAATCTTACAAATGGCTACAGGAATATTCCCTGTGAGTGTCGCACCATGTAGTGTTAAAACAATACTGAGAAATTTCTGAGAATAATTGTAAAATACATAATAGGCCTTATCTTAAGACAGGTTTTGTGTTATTCCCCCTTTACTGTCACAGTTGGTGTAGCCTACTGTGCTGTATGTTCCATTCAGTCATAAAAATGGGTTACAACAGTAAATGTAAACACAAAAGAAAAGCACATTGATTTATTTTTTAAAAATAAATCTGTATCCCACATTCACATTTAAACTCTGGGCTGCTCTTACTTGAAATTATTGTACTGATTAATCCTCCACATGCTAATGTCTCAATTACTTTACTTTGTGACCGCAATTCCATTAGCTTTCTATCAAAAAACTCCTGCATCTTGATCACCCAACTTGGGTATTTGGTCTCAGTATGTTGCCAGAGTTTACATGGCCTCATACTGTCATTAGCTAGCACCACTTTGCAAATAACACACAGTGGAGCATCATCAGGACCTGTCATGAAAATCCAAACCTTAAATAACCATCGTCATACTTGCATAGTTTTCTGCTTGCCCCAGACTCTGTCTCCTCTCTCACTGTAGGTGTTACAAATCAATCCACATATAGCCAAGCTAAAGTTTGATATTTACAGTTATTTTTTTCTGATTTATCTTTTCTCATGCTGGGCCTCCCCTGAAGTCCACTGGCGCCCCCCAGGGGAGGCGTGCATCACACTTTGAAAATCACAGTTTTATGCATTCCTGATCATTCCCACTGTTTGAAGCGGGCACACTCCTGCTTATTTAAGAAAACGTGGACCAGTCATTACTTGTCCACCTTCTGATGACAGAAAGACAGACTGACTGATTCTGTTTGTGGCTTCTAGAAATTATTTATAGGATGTGGCCTTTACCATACACATGGCCATGGACGGTTTGGTTTAAAATGTAGGGATTCCTTAGCTGCAGCACGGTGGTGCGGTGGTTAGCGCTGTTGCCTCACAGTGAGAAGGTTCTAGGTTTGAGCCCCGGCCAACCCGGGGCCTTTCTGTGCGGAGTTTGCATGTTTTCCCCGTTCTTGCGTGGGTTCTCTCCGGGTGCTTTGTCCAAAGACATGCAGCATAGGTTGACTGGTGTCTCTAAATTGCCTGTAGGAGTGATTGAGAGTGGTTGTTCGTCTGTGTTAGCCCTGCGATGGACTGGCGACCTGTCCAGGGTGTACCCCGCCTCTCGCCTGCAGCTGGCTGGGATTGGCTCCGTGACCCCATTTGGGACTAAGCGGTTTAGAAAATGGATGGATAGATTCCTTAGCTAAACTCTGCTGCTGATATTTTAGCACTAGTAGAAATTATCTGAAGATTAACCATTGTTTTCTCCCACTGTGACTACTAGAACAGCTGTCATTTGATAAGGGAGGCCAGAGAGAAAATGGGAGTGGTATGACAAATTGTGTTAATCAGTGAATAATTGAGAAAAGAACATGTCTCTAAGGCTCTATCATCATTAGGCTTGTGACTGTCCCCTGCTGTTTTGCAATCCATGTAATTTTGGCTGAAATTGTTGATCTAATGTTTTTTGTAATTTCAGAAAAGATACAATTCTAAACAGATTTTATAATGACGGCATAGGTCTGTATCTTATTTTTCATTACTGTGACATTCATTGACTTCCATCTTGTTTGTTGTCATGTTCCAGATTCAGACAGTGGGATCTCTCCAGGCAGGATATCCTACGCTTCCTCCAAGAGCTCCTTGATTTCAGATGACAGCTATGGCTGTTTGGCCTGGAACATACCTGCCTTGGAGCTCATGGCCCTTTATGTAGCAGCTGCAATGCACGACTATGACCATCCTGGTCGCACAAATGCCTTTCTAGTAGCCACTAATGCACCTCAGGTATTCCACAGCATTTAGTGGTTCTTTAAAGCGATGTAGATTGAATTGACACACTGGTTTTGCTCACTGGGGGCACATAAATACGCACAGAGAATAAAGATGATAGGGTATATAGAAAGAAGAGACCACTCCCACCAGGATAGAAATGTTACATCATAGGATAAAGGTCATCATGCAGAACAACTTTGTATTGATTTGCAGCAATCCTTCCCTCAGACAGAGCAAGTGGATCCAAGCCATACTATTAAAATGTCCCCCACAGCATAACAGCACCAATCGATCCCCTCACTGTGGGGGTCAAGCATTCAGGTTTTTGCTTTAATTTGACACCTATCTGTGCATGTGTACTTGGCCTATTGTTGCAGTTGTCCAAGCTTTCCATAGAAAGATCCTACCTGGATATTCAAATCAAATCAAATCAAATTTTATTTATATAGCGCCAAATCACAACAAAAGTCATCTCAGGACACTTTACAAAGTAAGGTCTAGACCTTACTGTTATCAATATTATTACATAGGGAAAACCCAACAAATCCCCCTTGAGCAAGTGCTTGGCGACAGTGGGGAGGAAAAACTCTCTTTAACGGAAGAAACCTCCGACAGACCCCGGCTCTTGGTGGGCGGCCTTCTGCCTCGACCGGTTGGGGTGAGTGGATAGAGGAGAGACAAAAGAAGAAAAGCAACAAGACACAACAATCAAACACTGAGGGGAGGGGAGGGGAAAGAAACTCAGAGCATCATGGGGCCCCCAGCAGCCTAGGCCTATAGCAGCATAACTAAGGGAAGGCTCAGGGTCACCTGATCCAGCCCTAACTATAAGCTTTATCAAAAAGGAACGTCTTACGTCTAATCTTAAAGGTAGAGAGGGTGTCCGCCTCCCGAACTGAGACTGGGAGTTGGTTCCATAGGAGAGGAGCTTGATAGCTAAAGGCTCTGCCTCCCATTCTGCTTCTGTGGACTCTAGGAACCACAAGTAAACCTGCACTCTGAGAGCGAAGTGCTCTGTTAGGATGATAAGGCTCTACGAGGTCTTTAAGATACGATGGAGCCTTGTCATTAAGGGCTTTGTATGTTAGGAGAAGGATTTTAAATTCTGTTCTGAATTTTACAGGGAGCCAGTGGAGAGAAGCTAATATGGGAGAGATATGATCTCTCTTGCTCGTTCCTGTCAGTCCTCTGGCTGCAGCATTTTGGATTAACTGGAGGCTTTTTAGGGAATTATTGGGATATACTTATAGTAAAGAGTTACAGTAGTCCAGCCTGGAGGTAACAAATGCATGGACCAGTTTTTCAGCATCACTTTGGGACAGGATGCTCCTGATTTTTGCAATATTGCGTAGGTGAAAGAAGGCAGATCTAGAGACTTAGCTTTTGTGTGATTTAAAGGACATATTCTGATCAAAGATGACTCCAAGGTTCCTCACAGTAGTACTGGAGGTGAGAGCTATGTCATCTAAAGTAACTATATGATTAGACAGCAGATTTCTAAGGTTTTCAGGCCCAAGCACAATGACTTCAGTTTTGTCAGAGTTTAGAAGTAAGAAGTTGCAGGTCATCCAGGCCTTTATGTCTTTAAGACATGCTTGAAGTTTGACCAGCTGACCTGATTTATTTGGCTTCATAGATAAATATAACTGAGTATCATCTGCATAGCAATGGAAATTTATGTTGTGCTTCCTGATAATATTGCCTAAAGGGATCATGTATAAAGTGAAGAGAATTGGGCCTAACACAGAGCCCTGTGGAACGCTGTGACTAACGTCAGTTTGTGTGGAACATTTGTCATTGACATGAACAAATTGAAATCTTTCTGATAAATAAGATTTGAACCAACTTAGAGCAGTTCCTTTAATCCCAATAACATGTTCAAGTCTCTGCAGTAAGATGCTGTGATCAGTGGTGTCAAAAGCAGCACTGAGATCTAAGAGGACAAGTATGGAGACAAGTCCTTTGTCCAAGGCTAGGAGAAGACACCATATTGCTGATATAATCTTGAACTTTGCATTTGAGTATGATAATCACTTTATTGGCCAAGGATGTTATACACCAAGGAATTTGTCCAGTACAGAACTGAGGAAGTCATCTGTGGGGCCAACTCACACACCCCACAAACACACACAAACTGATGGCAGTACTGTCCCTGCGACACACTGCTCTGGCCATAGGGAGCAACTTGGGGTTCATTGTCTTGCCCAAGGACACTTTGACATGTGGACTGGGGAGAACGGGAATCAAGCCGCTGACCTTCCAGTTGGGGATGACGGCTCTACCTCCTGAGACACAGGAGCCCTCACTGGCTTATCATCATTTATCCCAATATCTGTACTTTATTGAGTTATTCATTCAGCATAGGGAGAAGATGTTTCAAACCAACAGACCAAATCAATTAACACTGTGTTGTCCCTAAGACAAGTGCTGTGTATAAACACAAAATCAGATGGCTATCTCTCTGCTCTACTGACAGCCTATCTGAGTGGCCCCTGGTGGCTGCTGCATAGACAGATAGTAAACAGTGATTAATGCACTTCATGAGGAGCCACACAGAAGAGTGTGCTTCCTTATCCCATGCATTTCTTTGAATAGTGACGCATTTTTGGCTTACCTTCGTATCACAGTGAGTCACGTATTAGTAGAACTAAAAACTATTCGCTGGAAACAGTGTTTTGTCCTCTTATGAATCCTTATTTTTAAAGTTAATCTTTAACTCAACAGTCAACATTTCCTTTACATGCTTGAAAATGCAAAACCAACATATTCAAGCTAGTCAAACTATGCAGTGTCTTTCCTTAATATGCTGTATATAAATACAGCCATGGACAGTAATTTGATGTCTATAAAAACTGTCTTAAATGGAGATCATAATCAGAACTGACTCCTCACCACAGAGCCAGTTAATCCTATTGTGCTCTCTCATTGTGGTCAGTCATGTAAATAAGGGGTGGAAAGGTCAACTGTGTGCCCCAGTTTAAATATTGTATTTTCACAATATGTTCAGTGATTGCACTCACACTGTCTGGGTTTTGTAGAAGTCCCAGGAAACTGGGTTAAACGAAAGAAGAGGGAACCCTGAACCTATTGATTGCTAATAATATTGACAACCACTTGTCTGTTAAATTGATCTTTTAAATCTTTCTTGGTGTCTAATGTCCCTGTAACAGATTTTCCCTTCAGGTATACGTGTGTGTGTGCCTGTTATCACTCTGCTTTCATAACCAAATAACTTCATGTCCCTTTTGTCTCACTTATTGAGTGCTTGCTATTTTTAAATCCATTATCTAAATTGCGTAATACATGTGCAGACATTATGTAAGCAAACGAACTACTGACATTTTCGAGGAAGTTGTTAGGATACTAAGAAGACTTGGTTTACCATCTTTCCCTCTCTTATTCACTTGTCTTTTCCTTCCTGTGCGGTGTAGGCAGTGCTGTACAATGACCGTTCAGTGCTGGAGAACCACCACGCTGCATCTGCCTGGAGCCTCTACCTGTCTCAGCCCGAGTTCCACTTTCTGGTCAACCTGGATCATGTGGAGTTCAAGCGTTTTCGCTTCCTTGTCATCGAGGCTATTTTGGCCACAGACCTCAAGAAGCACTTTGACTTCCTAGCTGAATTCAATGCCAAGGTCTGAGCTGAAGAAAGCTTAACAGAGAGATGCTGAGAATAGATAATTACCAATTTATTGATTCTTTTATTTCTGGTAAAATACGAGTTGAAGCATTAGGAGAATGGTGCGATAATGCAGCATAGCATAATGGATGCAGAATAAAATGAAATAACATATTGATCTGTTTTAATAAGGCATCCATCTTTGTTTGTTTACAGGTGAATGATGTGAGCAGTCCAGGAATTGACTGGACCAATGAGAACGACAGGCTGCTGGTGTGCCAAGTGTGTATCAAGCTGGCAGATATCAATGGACCAGCTAAAGTCCGTGACCTACACCTCAAGTGGACAGATGGCATTGTCAATGAGTTTTATGAGCAGGTAAAGCCCATACACAAATTTACACAATTTACACTCGGCCTTTTCCTGTCAGGGGTCGCCACAGCGAATTGTCACACTGACAATTTGCATGTTGACATTTGGCACATGTTTTACACTGGATGCCCTTCCTGACACAACTCTGACTAAAACCCGGGCAGCAGCACAGAGAGCGCTGCTCCCTAACCACTATCAGGGAACCCACACTAATTTACATCGACCATTTCATTTTATCTTCAGATTTTCAAAAGAAATTTACAGTAAATAAAATGGGTTAAAATCTATCATGAACCTTTCAGCTCAGTGCACTTCTGTATAGTTCAGTTTTTATTGTCCTAAACTGAAACTTTGGGTTTGTACATAGCAAAAACAGATGCTATAAAACAAAATATCAGGTAAGAAGTGTAATAATAGCATTGTGCTTCTCTGTGTGTGATGTAGTTTGACTCGGGTATCAAGGTTCATTGTCTAAAGATTTAACCATATGGTTTAAACCATATTTGTTGTTGATCTGCAGGGAGATGAGGAAGCCAGGTTGGGATTACCCATCAGCCCCTTCATGGACCGCGCCTCTCCGCAGCTGGCCAAGCTACAGGAGTCTTTCATCACCCATATTGTAGGGCCGCTTTGTAACTCTTACGATGCTGCTGGCCTGCTTCCTGGCCACTGGATTAATGAAGCAGGATTGGAGGAGGACGATGAGGAGGGGCAGGTGGACACAGACACAGATGAAGATGAGGATGAGGAAGATGAGCTAGAAGATGAGGTGGCACCAAGTAAGATTTGACAACAGTAGCTCATGATTCAAGTTCTATTTATATATATATTACATTAGTTATGCCAACATATTTTTGCATTTTGCTCATTGCAGAAAGGAGGAAAGGTCGCCGCAGGTTGTTCTGCAGCATCATGCAGCACCTGACAGAGAACCACAAGGTGTGGAAGAAGGTCATCGAGGAGGAGGAGAAGAGCAAAGACCTCAGCAAACAGCAGCAGCCAGACAGCCTAATTGCCAGCCTGCCTTCCTCCCCGTCAGATGATATCCAGGTCATCCAGGAAGAGGAGGAGGGAGAAGAACGTCAGTAGCAGGAGGACAAAGGAACAGAGATGCATGAAAAAGAAGAGAAGCGGCAGTAAAAAGACACGAGTCCCCTCAACCATCTGCCTTTCACCAACACACATATATATTAAAAGATTCACTGTGCAGACACTCAGATGCTTAAGCAGTCACTGTTCTTGGAGAAAGAAAAAGGCCTTACTACTGTGAGCGGATCCTTGCTGCAACGGTGGGAGCCCAACTCCTATGCACTTTCACCCCATGGAGAGTCAAGTGCACCCAGACAGAAAGCACCAGAACTGAGGAAAAAGGTGCAGAAGTAGGACGGGGTCCAGCATGAACTTTATGGTAACCTGGCTGTTATGCTGCCTTGAATGCAAAGCGCTTACACCTCCCTTAGGTACAAAACAAATCCTGTCTATTTAAAAATGAAAGGTAGGGGGAAAATAATGAAGTAAGCAACATCATGAAGTGACTGATACCCTTTACCAAAGTGAACAGTTCAAACATAGAAAGACATGAGACTGGGACTGTTTCAGCCTCAATGTCAGGTATATTTTTGAATTATATATCAAATGTGCCTGTTTGAACATTACTGAGTCCATATTGGCCCAGAGCCTAGGCTTGTGTAGTAGTTCTCTCTTGCTGGCGACACAAACACTGTATCAGACTCAGTCACAGAGACATTATTGAAATGTTGACTGATTAATAGCATTATATCTGCATCATTTTTGATGCTTTTACTCATGTGTACCACCTGTCCTTTTGTTAGTTTGTTTCTTTGACTCTCCTTGCTTCAGTTTGTTTGTGTGCATGTGAATGTTTTTGGTGAGAATGTGTCAGAGCGATTGAGTAGGGAGAAAGAGCACATTTTTAATTATTTTAGTAAACCGTGTGCATGTTTGAGTGTCCTTACAGTAATGGTTGGTTTTTAATCAGTGAAATGTCCTCTGGTGTTTAACTCTTTGCATTCAGATCAGAAGTGCTGTTACAATGGAGTCATTTTCCTTTTTGATTATAAGTGTTTTTTAAAGGTTACTCAGGATTCATGCAAAGTTAAACAATTATTTTGCAAGAATTTATGTCATTAATATGAAACTTTAAAAGCTAAGAAAATTAAAAATCTGGGTGACTGAAGTAGTTTGTAATCTCTTAATGAACAACTTGACTACAAACAAATTGAAGCAATTGAAATCCTCTGACAGAGGAGCATACAGGATGTGCTGTATCTTGGCCATTGATACACTTTGTATAATCTTTCTACAACCTCAATGAAGAAAAGCTTTCCTTGATTGTCAGCTGACTTGCAGTTCTTTAGTAGTATATTAGACCATTAGTTTTAGTTCTAAATGTCAGTTTCAGCCAGCTGGCAGACGCTGATGTTTAGACAAATTGAAAGCTTACTTTTCATCATTTTTTTTAACTTTTTTTTTTTCCTTCTTTCCAAACCCATCACTTGGCCAGTGTATAAAGAAAGGATCCAGGGTTTCATTTCATTTTTGTTTATATATATAATTATATTTAATGATGTACCATGAGGCAGGTTTTAAAAGTGTTAGTTCTCTATTTTTCTCTCTACAAATTTTTGGCATTCCACTAGAACAAGACGTTTTATGAAAGGGAATTCTGAATTGTTGCCTAGCTCCTTTATCACCTTATTAAATCATAATCTCTGGATAAAATATTGTGTAAATTGATATAGTGATATTTAAAGACAAGAATAGATACAGGTGTGCACATTTTAATACCAAACAAGTGTTTAGCCGCTGTACAAAAGAGTATGTGCATATAAATATATATATTTTTAAATAATCAAATGAATCTTGTTTTCTACACGCTGACACATTGTACATTGAGATCCTGTAATTACCGTTGCGTTTCCAGAGTTTTTATCTACTTCTATTTACAGGTGTGGACCTGTGGGGTTTGGTGTTTCTTTTTTTTTTTTTTTTTTTTGCTCACTTTCAGCCTCTCCCTGTTCTGTATCATAACCACTCTTCTATTTTCCTTTCTCTTCGTTATCACTGTTGTCTCAGCCAACCTAACTAAGGCCAAACTTTACCTACATACAGTAGTTTGTGGGCCATGATATGCTGATTGGAAAAAAGGTTCTGGGTTCAAGTACTGTTCATGCAAAACAAACAACCTTGAGTCAAATATTCCAACCGGGTTCAAAGGTGCAGCGACAGCGGCAGGAGTCAGCTGGTCGGAGCCATTGGCATTCTGATAACGCTGTCGTCAGTTATTCCACACAGAAACCTTGGAAGCTCCCAACTTGACATATTCCGGCTCATTAAGTTGTAGGTTTGTTGGATTCTCACTGCGCAGTCTCTCAAACCACAGTGTCCTCTGATGATTGTGCCATAAATACATCTATGAATGTCTGTTACCCTTATGTAACATCCATATACATATGTTTGTTTAATGTAACCATTCACCCTTATCTACAGTGTGGGAGCAACTGATTTTTGTTGTTATTTATAGCTGTCATAAAACACCATCCCTAAAGTATCAGCAGTTCTCATTGATTTTCTTTTATTGGTTTGTGTCTGTGTGAACTCACAATACACTTTATTTGACAGTTTATTTTTTCCTTTGTCCATGCCACCCCAAGTAAACAGAATAACCTTAAAGCCCTTAAATATACCGACCGTATACCCACACGAGCATTTGTACTTACAAGCCTGGCTAGATTTACTCTCATAGCAGTGTGTCCAAAGTGTTGATTGACATCTTGCTCACTCTTAAATATGTTGCACTTGTTAGAACGAGGTTCAATCAGCCACAGTAATTACAAATACCTGTGTAGGTGTGCTGAGCCTTTAAAACTGCTTTTATAAATATTTTTAAAAAGTAAATATTTCTAAAAAGTTGTAAAAATCCACTCTACAGTACATGGGCACCAAATGGTAGACCATGTAAGCAAGTAACTGGTGAACATAGTGCAGCATTTAGCCAAGAGCCAGGTATTTCCTTCAAAATTCACAAGGTTGCCACCTGTTTTCATGTTGATCGAACAATTTGGCAAGTATTGAATGAGATAATCTGTGGTCTAGTTAACAGAAGACAATTTTTCAATATCTTAAGAAAAAACTTTATACAAAAAGAGCACCATTTAGCAGAAACCATGCTGCAGTCAGTTTCTAAAAATCCACCAGGGTTACATTTGGTTTCTAAGAAAAAGAGTTCCAGAGAGCGTTATCCCTGGAGAAGGGGTCAGCGTCAGACCAGATGACGTTAACCTTGACCCATGTTCACACACACTGTTCAGAACATGGGTCTGTTAGTTAGCTTTGCCCCACATACACAAAGTTGTGGTGTCATTTGTCTAACCCGAGGCTGTCCTGAGAGTACAAGGTTATCATTAAGTATACTTACTATCATTCACTGATATATTTCTAACCCATCGCTACCACAGCAAGGTTCATAGACATTTCGTTCTCTGGGCACAGAGCACCTCTCATAAATCAGCTGCACGCTCATGTTCCCCAGATGTCCTTCGGCACAGTTTTGACACCTCCCCTGCTACTTAAAAATGTTGTGCAAACATGCATATTGCTCAGTAAGAGAGTTTGACAGTAAATCCTGATCAAATTCTCATATGTAGAGAGCCACCTCAGTAACTGAAAGTCCTTTGGTAAAACACTATTGCAAATGGACGCTACAAGCAATAGCGGTACAATACTGTGCAACTGTATCGTTGGGTTGTATTGCTGTGCAAAATAGTACAATTCTTGCTTTAAATAAGCTGTAATAAAATTTGCCGACCTAGTTGTGATTAGGAGCGTCTCCAGAGCAGGGAACTTTCTGTTGCCTGCGGACAGCACAGATGTTGTAAGGTTTGGGCTGTAAGGTCATGCCCAGTTTGGGAGTGAGAGAGGGAACACTTCCTGGAGGGAACTGAAGATGAAACCTCTGCAACAAAGTGGTGAAAAAGAGGAACATCTCCATTCTGGCCAGCTGCTCACCCAAGCAATGGCGCCTACCTGAAAAAAGAAAATTATTTCATTTAGGGTCTCATACAGTCACAGTCACAACATCTGGATAATTTGGAGAGCACTACAGATGAAAAACAATGGATGCTGTCTAAGGCCATATAAAAAGAGGAACATTTTATGAAATAAGAAATTATAAATGTGTGTCATATGAAGCAACATCTCATTTTTGATTTTGAGAATTTTGTGGATGATATGAATAATATGGCTAATGGTTTATGTTAAGTTTGATCTTTCTATGTAATACAGGTACACGTAGGGTTATTTTAACTGGAAAAAGTAGATAGCACTGAGAAAAAAGCCTTAGACAGAAATTTGGTGTATACAACACCTGCCCACCATCACTCCACAATTCAATATCTGATATTCCGGTCCCCATACCTGCCACTCAACTGATCTGATATCCTAGTTAGCAAACAAGGAAATTCTCATGACTTTTAAATGTGGTCAATGAAATAACCACTCACTGGCGACTGTCTTGTCACTGACTACAGCTACTATAATTTAGATCATTGGCTTTTGCTGTTTTAGAGAAGCATAGAAAAACTAACCTAAGGAGAATGGAAGGAAGGCCTCACGCCTCACAAAATTGCCACTGCTGTCCAGAAATCTCTGAGGTGAGAAAACCCCCGGATCACTCCAGTACTTCTCATCAAAGTGCACTGAATAGAGGTTTGTGATCACCATCGTGCCTTTGGGAATTGCGTAACCTTTGACTTTTGCATCCTGGGAGGTGGCACGGAAAATGCCGAGTGGGACAATGTTGCAGAAGCGGAGGACCTCATGGAGAACAGCCTCCACGTAGGGCATCTTCTGTTTGTCCTCCAAAGTGGGTGCCCTCCCATTGACCAGTACCATGTCGATCTCCCTCTGCACCCTCTCTTTGCAGGGAAAAACAGACACTATCAGGCATGTAAGCATGTGTAACATCACATAACTAATACATTTAGAGTAAATTGTGCCTTAGATCTCACTCATGGTCACACTGAAAGTAAAATGATCTCATAAGGATGATGCTTCAGCTACTGACCTTGTATGTTGGGGTAGAGGGCCATATACAGCATGGCCCAGCGCAGGGTATTAGTTGTGGTCTCTGTGCCAGCAATAATGAGCTCACCCACTGAATAGATGAGGTTCTCATAGGAAAAAGAGGAACTGGGATCTCCTGCATTTTGCTCCAACTCATCCAAATAGGCATCAACATAGTGACGAGGTACATGTGGAACTCTGCCCTGTGAAAAACGCTTTATAACCTGCAATAAGAAGTCATAAACCTCAGCAGCATTGCGGAACAGCTTCTGGTGTTTTCCAAAGGGCACATATTCAAGCCAAGGGAAGGCATTGTAGAGGAAGGCCCAGGAGCTCACTGCGAGCTCCACGTTCTCACTGAATATCTCAATCATGTGCTGGAAGTTGTGGTCGTCGTAGGTAAAACGCTGTCCAAAAAGAATCAGGTTGGTGATGTTGGACACAGCATTGGTCACATAGTGTTTGGGGTTGAAGGGTCTTCCCTTGTGTTCGTCAATGGCATCAACAAAGAACAGGCACTCCTCTGAGATCTTTCTCTGAAACAGCCACTGGCCACTGCCAAAGTAGTGGAAAGAGTTGCAAGCTAGTTTACGGTGTTCGATCCAGCCTTTGCCATATTTACAATTAAGAAGCCCTGTGGATAGTGGAGATAAAATAAAACAGAAGAACTAAACCACCTAAAGTAAAAATACTACAATTAAATGCTTTGATGAACATTTCAACTGTAATTTTATTAAGCTGCTCTTCCAAGAAAATAAGTATTGTGATCATTTCACAGCATCTTACCTCCCATTTTGGTCATTTTCTTGAATAAAGGTAGTGATGGGCGATCGGCAAACACCTCACTATGATGGTGCAGGCAATCCCTGATGCAGTCGTATCCATTTAAAACTACAGTCAAGATGCCTCCCAGGTCAAGACTGAAAATCTGAAAGGTAAAAAAATTGCAAAAATGTATTCCTTCTGTTCTTTCCACACATTTTTATACAACTGAATGCTTATGTCATATAGCCTAATGTGAGATTTGTAACACAACTGTAGGCATGTTGCAACATTTTGCTTGTGTCCACTCTCTGGGTGATTTTTCGAGAGCCAGAAAACTGAGGTTGAATTAAACTTCTATTAGCCAGGAACTGTGATTATACATATTTTCTGGTCTCTAATAGATAGATAACCTTATAGGGCCTGCTTCATAATTTTAGAAATACACTGCTTTACCAAAGGGAAGTCTACGTCCTATGTATTTTTGGGAGGTGCCTTTCATTTTTCCTAGCCCCTGAATTGCAGGTTCCTTTACCCCAAGCAAACGCCAGAGAGCAAAATGTAAGGGTCACTCTTGTTCGCAGAACACTGGTGAGCAGTGTATGCATGACCATGTGTGTGTCATCAAAGTCTGAAACCTCTTTATAGGGTCATGCACTGCACTGTTTGCAGCGCACTGAGATAAAGAGCAATGCAGTCACAAAATACACTGGATACTGCGTGAGAGTCATTACCTGTCCATGAAATTCACTCTGCTTCTTAAGGAAGACGTGGGGCTCGGTGGCCAAAGAAAGAATATTCCCTATCACAGGGATGGGAGACGGACCAGGAGGAAAGCCCGGGGGTCTTCTCTGCTTGACGAGCTGGCGAACCAGAAGGAAAGCGAGGAGCGCGAAAGCCACACAGCCCATACAGAGCAGAGTCTGTCCGCAGGACACCGACACCAGAGAAGGTGATTTGGTTGAAACCATCTTTTAAAAATACTTATTTTTTCACTGTGCCTAAGTCCCTCTGCCGACTTCTGCTTCGTTCTCAGAGGAACTGAAGCGCATATGTAGGCCTGTCATCTTGCACACTGGCCAGATCAACAGTTGAACTTCGCCCCGATCGATAACTGGAACATTTTAGGGGATGCTTAGGTCGAGTTCCTGGCTTCGTTTAACCCACAGTTCATCAAGTCAGTTATTCGTGTTTAACGTTGCAAATTGTATTAATACTTTTGTGACACAGAAACAAAGGTGCAAACTAGCGCTTTGGTTCAAGAGTGAAGGTAACACTTGCACAAGCTCTAACTGACATCAATCAATATAAGTGCAATTACAATATATTAACAGGGGAAAGTGGGTTTTGCTGAGCCTAGCGACGAGCAAGCAAACCAATGTTTCGAGGAAACCACAGAGAAAATTGCGCACACTACTTGGAAGAGTCATTCTTGTAAGGGAGGAACATGGAATATGGTGCAGCACAGTGTGTTCAAATACAGGCTCTGTGAATTTCAGATTAACTTTAAATACTGTTTTTTTTCTCCTAAGAAGAACAAAGATTAATTCACAATAATTGAGCAAAATAAAATTTGCTAGAGTAATTTTGTAAGAGAGAGTTTATGCTCACTCAGTGTGAGGATAAACTATTTCTCATGCAAGGTAAATTAAAATTTGATGGCTAGTCAAAATACATAAAATTCCCTTATCCAGGAAATTTTATGTGTATACACACACACACACACACACACAGTTTATGTTTCGTAGTCAATGGGGACTTTACATTGACTTACATGCATTTCCTGTAGACTAACCCTAACCTTAACCAGAACCACTACTTGCCTGACCCTAACCCTGACCCTAACCTTAACCTAACCCTAAACCATGTTGCCACCCTAAAATTCAATTTCTTGCCCATGGGGACCTTAATTTAGGTCCCCACCGTGAAATGGGTCCTCATGAGTTGGTATGGAGTCAGGAAGAAGTCCCCACGTAGCAGGAAAAACACACACACACACACACACACACATTGTTAGGAACCGCTCGAACACACTAATGAGCGAGCGGAAAAAATAACGGACCCAGGTAGCAGTGGGATTTATTTACAGTGCTAGTAGTGAACAAAATATTTATATGAATGAGGAGGAGTGAGACGACCGGGTGTCGATCAGCGGTAGCAGGAAACACAGTCAATGGAATGATGACGGGCTGGGCTGCGGATGTCGGATTCACCCCTGGGCTGGTCGGGGTGGAGATGATGATGACTGAGAGAAGAGAAACAGAGAGACAGATTAAAGGGGACTGTGCATCGACCTGTGAAGTGGTGGCTGGTAGAGCTGAGGGAAACCAGGATCCAGAGGAGCGGTCGGATGAGGAGGAAAACCAGATGCGGGGGGGCAGGATAGAGACTCAGGCAATAACTGAAAACAGAGAGAGAGTACTGGGCAAAAAACGATAACATACACGGGGCCTGAAGACAGAGAAAGAACTGGCAGGGTAGTGAACGGTGAGCAGTGTCTAAGTAAAGAGGGGAACTAACGAGGCGCAGCTGGTGAGAATCAGTGAAGTGGGGCAGGTGTGTCTAATAGTGCAAAGGAGCTGACTAGTGTGAGGGAAGGAAAAGAGGAAGGTGCCGCCGGGCAAACCTGACACACATCACATGTATAGATAGAGTATATATCCCAAAACTGAAGTGAAAGGTACCAGTCATTATGAAGAATCTGCTTGTTCCTTCAACACATTAAAGGTTAGGTCATGTCATACATTTACAGGGTAGAGGTTAAGGCATGCAGCACGTTCCAAACTTGCATAGATGTGTGAGATGTTCCAGGCTTGTAGGCTCAAGAGCTGCACTTGTCCAGACAGTATATCCCTGGACAACTGTGTATGTTTTAAAATGGGTATCACATTGTAGGCTAGTGGTTGTTTTTTCAAACAAATAAACACACACTTTATCAACTATTCACCAATATATCTGAAACAATCCTGTTATACACAAACAATTAGCATTTATTCATTTACTGTCTAGGCAGTTTTCCTGTAGTCTGTAGACAAAAGTGGAGAATGGATTGAGGCTGCAGAGGAAAAAATGTTGTGTGATAGGTTCATCACAATTGGCTCCTCATTAGACATGAAGTTGTTTATCCAGTCATTCC